AAAGACTTATAAGATTAATATGTATATATAGTTAAAGTTTTTATGATGATATTAATGGTCATAAAGAGTACTAATTCTAGAAAATGGTTTCATCTACATTTCTGTACATAATTTTGGATCAGTTTTCTGCAGTGAATCATAAGCACACCTAACAATGACCTTTGAAGTTTCCAAAAGAAAGATGGGGCCCCCCAACGATGAATCCTTCAGGACCATGATAACACCACTAAGTTGAAAAACACCACCTAAAGATTGGCTTTGGAATACAAACTGCCCAGAACAATTTTGAGGTGGCTAGCTGAGATGATCCAGCCTAAGAGACTATTCCAGCCAGGACTCAAGTCCTGCACTTTCTCAGGACTTGACAATTAACCCAAATTTTTCTTTTCAGAATCCCTAAAGATACTGTTGCCTCAGACAGAAGGAATTAAATTTAAGAATATAAAGCCCACATTCCCAAGAGGTGGGGTGAGTGTTTTTTGGTTATTCAATGGGTTATGGATATTTGTCGTTGTTTAGGGTGGTTGGTTACAAATTGTTATTGGTTAGAGCCAGGAGGAAAGTTGAACAAAGATTAGATACAGAGTTTTTGTTTTGAAAAGAGAAAAGGGGGTATAGATATGATAGGATAAAAGGGTAGATTATTGAATCTACTCTGAAAAGAAGAAAGGAAGGATATAGATATGATAAGATAAAAGGTAGATCATTGAATCTACTTTTAAAAAGCAACTACTAGTTTTAAATGGTTTACTTTGGATTGGATTTTTGTATATTGTATACAAATTTTGTATATTGATACAAATTTGAGATTATTTTTCTGGAACATACCATACAAACATTTCTACTCTTTTTCAAAGTATTGTACCTATACAACTCATTCAACAATGTAATGCAAATTTCTAGCCCTTGAAAATTATTATTACCGGGCTGGAGAGATGACTCAGAGGTTAAGAGCATTGCCTGCTCTTCCAAAGGTCCTGAGTTCAATTCCCAGCAACCACATGGTGGCTCACAACCATCTGTAATGGGGTCTGGTGCCCTCTTCTGGCCTGCAGGCATACACACAGACAGAATATTGTATACATAATAAATAAATAAATAAATATTAAAAAAAGAAAATTATTATTACCAACTGTTCAGGATAATAAGGAAATGTAGGTTAATAGTTAATCAGCTACAATAATCGAACTTGTAGTCACATTAGGCATGTTTTCAAAGTCAAACAAAGATATATTTTAGATAAACAGATCATCTTCAAACCCTTCAGAGATAAAAAGAATATGGCATTTAAGATGTTTTAATAACATAGGTTCTTTATGACAATGAGATATGCCTGCTCCTGGCAGCACCAATCTACTTCAGAGAAGATAACGGATATCGAAGAAACTCCACTTCGAGTCTACTTTCTTTGTGGCAAAAGTAAGCAAGAGCAAGAAAATGCCCTTGCCTCGATTGCTGTCAGTGTGCTGTCTGAATTGGACAGGTAGGACACAAAAGAAAGTGACTGCCAAATTGTTAAGACAAGGATGGAGAGCCCTTCAGAATATCCTGCTTCACAGGAAAGTCTGTCAGATGTGCTAGGCTGTAGGCTGAAGGTGGATGCTCCAACATTTCAGAGGAACATTGGTGACTGTCTATACAGCCAGCTGTTTCTGTCATTTCTCACACTTTTTGGAAGTCGCTTGCTTGAACTTCCTGCTTACTCAGTTAATATTATCTCCTTCTTGTGTCTCTGAGGGAGTTGAAACTAGATAGTTAATAGTTTTTCTTATTTACTAGATGCAGAAAGCAAGTTATGATAGAAAGTAAATTAGGTACAAGACTTTGGACTCACAAAATAGGATAGATATGGAGTATTTTCTCTGAATTTGTCAAATGTAAATGAACTAGCCATTGTTGATGTATTTATTGTCTGTATATATTGCATATAGTCATTGTACTTATTGTATATACTTTTTCTTATATATTAATTAAAGTCTTTTTATGTTAGAGAAAAGGGAAAATATTGTGATATTTCATTTGTATAATTATTATTATTATTTTGTTTTTTCAAGACCGAGTTTCTCTGTGTAGCTTTGGAACTAGCTCTTGTAGACCAGGCTGGCCCCGAACTCACAGAGATCCACCTGCTTCTACTTCCTGAGTGCTAGGATTAAAGACGTGTGCCACCACCACCTGGCTCATTTGTATTTTAATAAATAAGGCTTACCTGAAGGTCAGAACACAAAGCAGCCAGACTAGTCAGTCATATATGCCAAGCATTGATGGTACACATTTTTAATCCCAGCAGCCACACTAGTTAACCATACAGGTCAGGTGGTGATGGCGGTGTATGCCTTCAATCCTAGTACTAGAGAGGATATGGCGGGATGAGACAGGAACTCACTCTCCTTCAGTGTGAAGATTTCATAGAGGTCAGAGCTCTCTAATGGCTTGGTTGCTTTGCTTTTCTAATCTTCAGGTTGAACTCTAATATCTGTCTTTGGGTTTTTATTATCTGTGTTACAATCATTAATCTCAAATATTTTACAATGGTATGAATTATTTGTATATTGATACAAATTTTTTTTAAAAAATTTATTTATTTATTATGTATACAATATTCTGTCTGCATGTATGCCTGCAGGCCAGAAGAGGGCACCAGACCTCATTACAGATGGTTGTGAGCCATCATGTGGTTGCTGGGAATTGAACTCAGGACCTTTGGAGGAACAGGCAATACTCTTAACTGCTGAGCCATCTCTCCAGCCCATATTGATACAAATTTAAGGTGTATGTTTCTACTCTTGTTTAAGGTATTTTTGTATATTAATACAAATTTAAGGTTATTTTTGTCATACTGTATATATGTTACTACTTTTGTTTAAGGTATTGTACCTATGCAGCTCATTTAAAAACATAATTGGGGGTTACAAAGATGGCTCAGTGGTTAAGAGCATTGACTACTCTTTCAGAGCACCCAAGTTCATTACCAGTACCCACATGGCAGCTCACTACTGTCTGTGACTCCAGTTCCAGGGGACCCAACACCTATGGTAAAATACCGACGCATATAAAATAAAAATAAATAAATTCAAGAAAATGTAATGTATAACTAAGAAATACAGGTTAGTGGTTAGTCATCTATGATCATCCTGTAGTCCTGTTAGGTATGTTTTCAAGGTTAAACAGAGATGTACTTTAGAAAGACAGATGGTCAGCACTTCAGATATGGCATTTGAAATGTTTTATTTTTATTTTATTTTTTTAAAGATTTATTTATTTATCTTTTATTTATTATTATTTATCATATATACAATGTTCTGCCTGTATGTTTGCCTGCAACCACAAGAGGGCATTGGATCTCTTTGTAGATGGTTGTGAACCACCATGTGGTTGCTGGGAATTGAACTCACAACCTCTGGAAGAGCAGTCAGTGCTCTTAACCTCTGAGCCATCTCTCCAGCCCCATTTGAAATGTTTTAATAACATGACTTTCCATGACAGTGAGACATGTCTGCTCCTGGCTACACCAATTTACTTTAAAAAAGGATAGTAGACATTGATAGTGGACTTTGCTTTTATTGTGGCAAACTTAGCCATGGGAAAAGAAGCTACCCTTACCTTGACTGCTGACAGTATGCTGTCCAAATTGAACAAGCAGGTCAATAAAGAAAGTGACTATGGAAATTTGCCAAGACAAAGTAGAACAATTCTTTAAACTTCCTGCTTTACATGAAAGTCTATCAGATATTCTAGGCCTGTAGGCCAAAAATGGATGCCCCAATGTTGTAGAGGAAGCTTGGGCAACTGTCCAGGCAGTCAGCTGTTTCTGTTATTTATATAGTTTTGGAAGTTTTTTGCCCTGCACTTTCTGTTTACTCAGGTAAAATTATTTGCAATTTGATGTTTCTCTTCTGCCCACCTGTTCCCACATGCCTGACATCAGCTTCCCAAATTAGCACACAGTGGCTTATATTAATTGTAAATGCTCAGCCAATAGCTCAGGCCTGTTACTAGCTCTTACACTTTAAATTAACCCATAATTCTTATCTATGTTTAGCCACATGGCTTGGAACCTTTTCTCAGTACAGCATTCTCATCTTGCTTCCTCTGTGTGACTCCTGGCTCTCTGCCCCTTTCCTCCCATTATTCTTTGTTTGGTCACCCTGCCTATACTTTCTGCCTGATCAATGAGCGTTTTATTAAACCAGCTCAAGTGACATATCTTTACAGTGTACTAGAGGATTATTCCACAACTTCTCCTCCTTTCTGTCTAATTAAAAAGGAAGGTTTTGCTTTAACATAGTAGGATTATATGCAACAAAATAGTTATCAAGTAAGAATTTCAGTTAAAATATCCAGTCTATTTCTATTTGGCAAAATTAGAGAAAATCCTCTATTATCTATTTTATCTTTGTGAGTTTAAAGTTTTGTACCTAATTTATCTTTTATCATAACTAAAGAAAACCATAACTATCTAGTCTTCAGTATACAGGAGGATTATTCCACAGCAATTATATCCTTCTTGGGTCTTTGATGGGGTTGAAAACTAGGTAGTTATAGTTACAGTTTTCCTTGTTACCAAATTCAGAAAAGAAACTTACAGAAGAGATTTTAAGTTTGTAATGTTGAGAAACATAAAACCTTACATTGTCTATTTTAATGTTTTAGGTCCAAAAAGATATTTTTAGGATGATAATACAAATTATGATAGAAAACAGTTTAGGTATAAAACTTTGGACTCACCAAGAAAGGATAGATAACACAACACTTTCTCCAAATTTGCCAAATGTGGATATATTTCTTACTTGATAATTGTTCTTACTGTGCATAGTTTTACTGTGTTAGAGTTAAAACCTTCCCTTTTCCTTTTCTTTTTTTCTTTCTAGACAGTTTCTCTGTGTAGCCTTGTGTCCTGGAACTCATTCTATAGGCCAAGCTGGCCTTGAATTTACAGAGATCTTCGCATCTCTGCCTCCCAAGTGCTGAGATTAAAGGCGTGTGTCACCACCACCCAGCAAGTCTTACTGTTTTATTTAGAGAAAAGGGAAAATGTTGTGGAATATTTGTACACTGTGAAGAGGTATTTCTTTGACTGGTGTAATAATAAGCTGAATGGCCAATACCTAGGCAGGAGAGAGAGGTGGTCCTTTGGGCGCAGAGAGGAAGAGGACAATTGAGGCCTACTGGAGGAGGCACCATGGAGACTTGGAATGAGCTGGATACACAGAGTGGGAGAGAGGTAAAAACCACATGGTAGAATGTAGATTAATGAAAATAAGGGTTAAGGTGGTATAAGAGCTAGTGTGGTAAGCTTAAGCTAAGGCCGAGCTTTCATAATAAGTCTCCATGTCATTATTTGCAAGCTGGCGGGCCAAAGAAATGTTTAATTACTGGTGGCCTGACACTTCTGACACCTGCACTCACACGCACATACCTACAGACATACACATAATTAAAAAAATAAAATTAAGAGGTTTTTCCTTTTTTGTTTTTTCAAGCAGGGTTTCTCTGTGTATCTCTGACTATCCTGAAACTCACTCTGTAGACCAGGCTGAACTTGAACTCACAGAGAACCACCGGCCTCTGCCTCCCTGAGTGCTGGGATTAAAGGTGTATGCCATTGTTGCCCGGCTAAAAAATTCTTTTGAGACACGATTTCTCTGTGTGACAGCCCTGGACGTCTTGGAACTAGCTCTGCAAAGTCAGCTGGATCCCAGCTCCAGGTGTTCATCTCCAGATGGCAGTATTATCTTTGGATTTGGAATCTGGTTTTCCATCACTTGTTTCTTAAAAATTTACTGGTTTACAGTTGTGGAGGCTAATGCTCCACACCTGGGTATGTTGGTGTAGGATGCTCTGGGCAGGGCCTTCCTGTCTCTTTCCAGCTATCTCATGGTTACCTGCAATCTTTAACTCCAGTGAACGTCATTCCTATCTGTAGACCGGGCTGGTCTTGAACTCACAGAGATCCGCTTGTCTCTGCTTCCTAAGTGCATGTGTCACAATGACTGTCTAAGAGAATAAAATACATCTTGGAAATAAAAAAGGCAGTCTCTCATGTAAGACCTAGATGAATGGGAGAGCAGTTTAGTTTTTTCTGTGTGACACCCAGGAGATTGTTCTCCCAGGGCCTCTGATGGGTTGGGTGATCACCCTAGGAAGCAACCTTGGTAAGAGATGGGTCTGCAGATGTTCTGGGCTGTGGTTTGTGTCTGGAAGCAACTACTGAATCCCAATGGCAGATATCTCAGGCCTCTGAGCTAGGACTTGTATGTGTGAAAAGGGGTTCTCAGCCAAAGTTCTGTCACGTGTTGTGTTCTTCTGTCTGATAGGGACCTTCAGTAAGTGGAAAAGCCTTGCAGAGCTGCCCAGGAATCCAAGAGTGTTCCCATAGAACCCTAGTGTCCCTTGCCTGGGTGGGACCTCAGATGGAGCCTTGGTCTGGAGAAAGTCACTCTCCAGTCTAGAAAGCAGAATGATCAGTTCTGGGGAGGTGGGGGGGTAGGAAGTCCTTCATTGCTTCTGCCTGGGCTCAGGGCCTTCCCCCAACCCCCCTTTTGGAGATAGAGGCTACCTAGGGCTTGGGAGGAGGGGCAACCCAAGCTGCATTTCCACTTGGAAGCCCTCTTTATTTGGCCTGGGACAGAGAAAGACTGGGGTCAGAGTGCACACATCTCCATGGAAACAGCAATGAGCCTGGCCCCTAGGGGACCCTAACCATAGTAGGGGGTCTTAGGAATTTTTTTTTTTCGTTTTTGGCTAATGGGCCTGGGCAACAGCTTTTTACAAAGTCCCAGTCATGAGGTCTGGAGGAGCAGGCAGACAAGTGGACTTTAGTCAGGGCCACACGGAGCAGAGACTGAGCCTTTTAGGACTGCAGGCTCCAGGTAGGAAAACAGAGTGCAACAGCTAGAATGTGTAGTCTTTAGAGACAAGCGCTGGAGATCAAAGAAGGGTTAGCTGTGCTGTTGTTCCCGCGTCCTGCTCCACTCATGGTCCACCTGGGATCTGAGTCCCACCAGCCTGCCTAAGGCGTCTCTCCAGGAACAGCTCCTCTGATGGTCTCAGAACTTCCATGCTGCTGGTGCATCTAAACAGGCGCCCTACAGAAAGAAAATATTGACTTGGATCCTCTTGGGAAGGATGCAAACCTTGCTGGATGAATTATTTTTTTTTCAGGATTCTACCCGTGGAGTCCTATGTAGGCACCTTTTCTTCCTGGGAGAATTATAACATATATAAAGTACTATAACTGCTCAGGAGTCCTAGGTGAGGTTGGCTAGACTCACTGAAGGAGGCTTATGAAGGCTCAAGTGGAGCAGGCAAAGAACAGCCTCAAATAACATTCAAGATAATTCAAACACACTTGCGGGTTTTGAGTACATCTGCGTGCTGACTGCAGTACTCTAAACGCAGGTTTCTTTTTTTCTGTGTGTGTGTGTTATTTTTTAAATGCTTCTACAGCCAAATCTGACATCAAGTAAGCTACATGGTATCCTACATGTGCTGCAGGAATCTAAAAGGGTCTAGGGAGTAACGCCGAGAGTGGGCCTAAGGGAACAGAGGAGACTTCTTTTCCACTGCCAGAGGAGTTTGACCATACCTTGGTAGATACGTTCCAGGGGTCATGGTGGCCCACGGTAAGCACTGGCATGGACATGGTGAGGCTAAGCATCTCATTGTAACACCCATTCTGCCTGATGAAAAGGGAGGAAAGCTAATAAGGAAGGCCTTGAGCTAGTGTGCTTTGGCCACTGTGATAGCATTAAGCAGACAAGTCTGTTCCAGCTGGGCTCTGCAATCCCGCCCTCCACCCCACCCCCAGCCTTTCCTGGACTTAGAACCTCACGGTTTCAGGTCTTGCTTAGTTTCCCGGACAATGCTTAAGCTTGACAGTTTTTTTTCCCACACCCTCTCAGTCCAAAGCAGTAGACCAGGAATATTCCTGAGGATTAGGGGAGATTTGTAGGCTGTGGAAATAGCAAGTAAGTATCCTCAGGGATACTGCAAAGGGATGGGGCTTAGTCCTGGGCCACAACCCACAGCAGCACCCAGAGTTGGAGTGTGGACACCAGGTGAACCTGATAGGAAGTGGAGGCAGGAGGAGAGCTGACAGAACGGAGCAGTGGACAATAAGCTTCCAGTGGTCAGAGGGGGGCCTGCCTGAGTCCCAAGATCTGAGCGGTCTGGGAGCCGTCTTCGAGAGCCTGAGAACATTCGGCGGCTGGCTTGATCCAGGGAACACCTGGAAATAGAGACTTGGGCCCCGGACTCCAGGGAACCTAGAGACTTCCTTGCGAGTCAGACCTCCCAGGACCACTGCCCTTCTCGCTTCTCCGATCCCACTTCCCCAACTCTGCGCCACGCGCACGCGCTCCGCGCAAAGTACTCGGGCTACCCCGACCGACCACGGGGCTACGTTCCGATCAGACGTAGCAACGCCTCTCTGGAGACTCTGCTTCCTGACGCCTTGCCGGGACGCAAGTCATTCATCTTTGACAAGTGATTCTCCCCGGCTTCTGACAGCCGGTCCGGACCGGCGTCTCAGGACGAGGCCAGGCTCTGACCGCTGGACCTGGAGCACCCCGCGAGCACGCTCAGGGACGCGCGACCCGCCCGCGGACAACTCCGCGCCGCCGTGTCCAGCTGTCCACGCCGGGAGGCGGGCGAGCTCCGGCGCACCACGCGCTGCTCCCGCCAGGCGCTGGA